ATGTTTCCCCAAATTATGCTTGGATTCATGAATTATGGGACCAAATTTAATTTGTGAGCTCAAAACAACTACCGCCCAGCAATGCCTCCTTTCTCTTCACAAAGGGAAAATCGTATCAGCATGTTTGTCCAAGGACAGAAAGGTACCCTAATTCAGATAATTTCAATTTGTTTGAGCATGTTCTTAATCCATTCATCAAATCATTGTACCCATAATTCAAATGGGTTAAACTTCTCACTATTTCTGAAGGTCCTACTTTAAAGAAACAAATGCTGAGCATTTTTTTCTTTTAGGAAAACAAATAGTAAAATACCTATTTTATGAGAAATCTCACTCATATTTTGATGTGTTTCAGTTCTTTATGTGAACTGTGAGACTGTAGATAGTACCTTTCATTATGTTTATGATAGCCCATAAAAGTACAGCATTTTTAAACAGTGAGGCTCTCTAACATACTATAAATGAATTAAATTACACATGAGCTATCTGGGGTTTCCAATACAGAAAGGGGATCTACATAGTTATAGAATAACAATGACACTACTCTGTATGATGGCTTTCCTTAGTGTACTCACAAAGCAGTAAGTTACTGTTGGGGCCACCTCCACGAATACTGAATACATACTCTGAGTGTCAGCCAGGCTAAATTCCAAACCCCTCAGAAATTAAATATCACTGCATAAAGCTCCTATATTGTCATTTTCAGTTGAAGCATTCTTTTTCTTTTGTATAGATAATGTAAAATTTTCATAACAATAGAAAATTCCTATAGTGATATAAGCAAATTTTACAGAGTTATTTTGAACAGTTAACGAAGAAAAAGAGGAGAAAAAATCCCAAATCCTTGTACAAATGCACTATGAAAAAGACCAAACTACTTGTTTCAAGTAGTCTTATCTATAGCAATTTGTGACATATTCAGTCTTATTTTGTAAAATAAAGAAGCAGATCTTCACTTAACAATGCCTTTCCCCTGCCTGTTGGGGAAGATTATTTTGGCTGATGTTCTGCCAGTTCCAGTTTCAATACAAGTACAGCCTTTTGGAGTAATCCATACTATGTTCCAAATCATGTAAAATCCCCCCAGCTACTGGCCCTACAGAAGAACATATCGATGGGCAACACTTCCTACTCATAACGACCAAATGCATCATTTGGGGTTTTTTTGTAGACATGACACTTCTGCATGGTTGGTCCTATTTTCAAGACTAAGGAACTTCAAGACGTACTTTTTGTATGCACTAACAAAGAATATCAAAGGATCTATTCTATAGGTTACAAAGCCTTCCCTTTGTGACATTCAGAGCTCTCCAGTCCCATCCTCACCAGCTGTAGTGGTAGGAATAAGGATGAGTGCTCAAGGACTCTTCCCTGAGTTTATATTACTCATAGGAATAAATCCTCCCTGGTATGCATCAGGACAGTCCAGTAAGAGTACCTAGGCTCAGTTCTCAGGCTGAACAAGTCCCTGAAAGAAGGCACCTCTGTGCATGCTGTCTGCTGGTAACAGTCCTTCACCCATCTTTTTACTGAGCCAGACAGATACAGTCCTCAGGAAAGCGCTACCTGGCCAGGTCTCAAAGCGCAACAGTGAGCACTCTACCACCTTACATGTGTGGGTGCTTCTACTGTGTTCTTGCACTGTTTAATTAATTTCTTAGACATAGTGCCTGTGTTTTTATGAGCAGTTTAAAAGCAATCATATTGCTTTTCCACTTCTTGTATGTTTTGTTTCCTTGGCTATGCTGGTCCAGATTTGGACTGTGAAGCATTTGTGTGTGCATGTAGTTGATCCCCATCACAGGTGATATTTTCACAGTCCACCTAACACAAATAGTATTTCTCAGCTGTCAACATACATTTATTTTTTAGATTCATAATCTTGTTGCACAGTAAACGTCTGTGTTGAGCAAGTGGCAAAACTCCAGAACTTCAGAGTTAAGATTTTTTTTGGAAAAGTATCCAAAAATGTGTATATTCATCTACAGTGTACACAGATTATTTGAGACCTTAGAAACTGCAAAAGCAGGCTAGAAATTTTATAAGATTTTAACTTCTTATAGCATTTTCAAGCTTACCAATGGATTCCAGCATTGCCTGGAAGTGGAGTTCAAAAAAAATTACTAAACTAATGTCTTCAGAAAAAAACACTATCAGAACAGTCTATTTTGATGTTTTTTTTGTCAAAGGTGAGTTTTTCAGAACTGAGTGGAAGGTTTCACAGTTCATGCATTTTCAGGTTTGTTTAAACTGTTTTGATCTCTGCTGTAGATATCAGGAACTAAAACAGAAGTGCAAGGGGAAAAATGGTTTAAATGCTACCAGTTTATTGTGATCTTTTAAGATCTAGGATCTTAAAATTGTTTCCTTTGCAATGTTGAAGAATTACCTGGGCTGGGCACTCTTACTGTGAATGAAACTTGAATTAGAGGGGAAAGCAAGCACACATAAAGCAAACTATCCCTTTGTGATTTTGGTGTTTAAGTGATCAAAACCAAACAGATGAGAAAAATGTTGAGAACAGGTGAGAAAGAGGAGAAAGGGTCAATCTAAATTTGGCTTTCTAGGCAAAAAAGAAACAGAGAAAGCACACATCAGTCTGGTGCCTGTTCAAACTTCCTTATGGATATAAAAACAAACCACAGTTCTGTATATATAAACAAGAAATGATGGACTCAAAATTATTCCAAAAGGTTGTCAACATAAACTGTCAAGGTCTTTAGGTTTCTTTTGAATAGACTGAACCAAACAAAGAGTTAGACACCATATTTTCAACTAATTAAAATGGAACCTGGAAATATTTAATTTTCAGAGAAGATTTTTGTGAGCTTAATTATGATTTTTACCTCAAAAGAAGAAAGGAGGAGACAGACACAGATTTAAGACTGCCTTTTCTGAACAATACTGGATGAATATCAGACACAGATTTAAAGTTATGAGACCTATACCAGGAATAATCTCTTTTCTCCCTTCAGAAATTACTCATGCAAATGTGTGTTTCTTTCCCTTTTTCCTGTATCAGCAACCTCGAAATCTCCTTCCAAATCAATGTTTTATTGGGGAGTTAGGGTGGGTGTCTGTTTTTTTAGGGGGAGAGATGAACACTTTCAGCAGAATCTGTTTGCATTCCAACATGGAATGCAAGCAAATTCTGAAACCTTGAAAGTTGTTCTGAAATGAAATCATCACTTTTTGGTTAGCTCTACTAAAACAGCCCTCAGCTTTTTCATCAAGCATCACCTGCAACAACAAATTTCACCACTCAAAAGTAACTGGCTCAAAAGAGGTTTTAATCTGAGGATTTAGCTGTTTCAGAATGTTTGATGAGACTATCAGAAGCAACTCTAGTAATGGTAAAACTGAAACTGCAGCTTGGCCAACAAATCATCTTTCTCTTCTCTAAAACTTGTTTTTACAGCTTGAAATACTTCTGATGATTGCAGCCGTGGATAGAAATAAAGTTATTGGTCACTTCGAAATTTAAGACTGCTTTGACTGAATAAAAAATACCATGAAAATGTAGAATTAAAAGAAAACCAGTCTCTTGTTGATATTGACCAAGTATATTATTGGCAAATATGTGTCTATTACCATGCAAAGGAAAAATATTTAAACATTAGGGTGATGTTTGTATTAATTTAATTGTAAGATTAAAAATATTTGATTGAGGAGAACACAATGAGTATTTGCTATTAACAATGCACTGTCTAATTCAAGTTCTGCAGTTGTACTGGCACTCTATTCATTAATAATAAACAGCAAAAGAGCAGTTCTCCAAATTGTATTTACTGACTGCGGAAAAATTTGACTGCACCACGGAGGACACATTTAGTAGAGCAATTCACATCTTTATGAAAAAAATTCTTGCAGATGATATTTTCAATACGGTATAAAAAAAATAAAGAAAAACTCTCAAAACTAATTTCCATAAAGATGTATAATACTCTAATGTATAAAATGAACAAATACAAAGTGCACAATAATTCTCTCTGTCATTCATGAGTGTAATAAAAGCTTTGGCTCAGGTAGCTTCATTATGTTATCCTTGTTCACCAAAGTAAATAGATCCATCAGGTAATACAATGGTTTACTATGAAAGGGCTGAAGAATGAGGATACTATTTCATCTAGGCAGAAGATGAGACAGAATGTCTCTTTGAAGCAGCCTTGATGCTTCAGAGGTTTTCTGGAGCTAATGGAGAGAGATGATGTGGAAAATTGCCTCCTACAGGTTGAATTGGTGTGGTCTCTGGGGTTTTCTTCCCCCCAGCCCCCACGTCCACACCCTGCCCCTCTCTTTAGACAGAGAGAAAGGGAAAGTAAGTCTTTATGATCACTGCTATTATTACATTTTAGAAAGAAGATCATTGTGGTGGGAATCACCTTACACTTCAGTAAGGAAATGCATTCTCTAGCACCACACTACTCTAAAAGTTAAATGATTTGACAACAGATATTTTGTAGGTTTGCATGTCATACAATTTCTCTAAACAGAGATCAGAAGTAAAAGAATGGATGACAGAAATATAGGAATGGCCTATGAGAGCTCTATGCATTACAAAGCTTTTTTTTCTCCTTCTTTTAATTGAAACCTCCTCACCACCACCCCCCTCTAAAGGATTGTAGTTTGGAAATGCAAGACTTAATTTGACTATCTCTAACTCAAAATACCGACACCTTGCAAGATAACAATCTTAAGAGTTTCTCTGAGCTTGCTGGTAATATGGTACTTCAGAACAAGGACCTAACCATGCAATTTCCTTAATAGTGGCTTACTATAATATAAATGGATGTGGGTGTCATAATTTTGATGAAGACTCGAGATTAATTTATCTTTACATAACGTAGTGTTATAGAAATAACAGGTTGGATTTCAACCTACTTGTTTAAGAAAAATCTTCAAGTCCAACACTCCTAGTCTTCAATACACAGATATTTCCAAAAACAAATTTAGCGTCTATTATTTTTCATTATGATCAAGAGAAACTTTGATTTCCTCACCTTTGCAATTGCCTCGATAGGCTATTTCCAGCTGAGGATCTTTGCATTTTGCTCGTTGAAATTCACACCGGGACAGAAAAGTTCTTCCATCAGATGCACAGAGTGATTTCTGAGGGGAACCTGCACAGTCCAGGCTGCATTCTCTGTCTTTATCTTGGTCCACTCTCAAAAACTAGAAAAATAAAAAATTAATGCTGTAGGAATGCTATTCCAATGTGAAAACTGTTCTGTGACTTCCTTCCCCAGGGAAAACATAAATATTACCCAAAACTGAAAAGAAAGTTCTGCCTTTTTAGTCTATTCAAATACTAGCTGATTCATTATATCTGAGGTTGTTCAGCTGCTGCTTTGAAATGGCAGTTACTGCAACATTTCCATAACATACAAGAAATGCAGTATCACAATTAGGAAGTCTCTGAATCTCCTTCAATAAGTATTAAGCTCAAAACAACAACAAAAATGGTTATGGCAGAAACATTCTTCACAACAAAAATGAGAGAGCAATGGAAACTTGTCTACTTTATTAGATATGTATTAACTATTCTATAATAAAAACCTGAAAAGTCTGTTCTAAGACTCAAATAAGATTTAACATAAATATTCTCATTGTGAATTTCAATGCTCCTCTTTCTAGTTCTGCCTCAAAGCCACATTGAACCCAGCCTAACTGTTCATTTCTCCACCCCCAAGACTGCAGACAAGGCTTGTGAGTTTGGTATCATCCTTGGCACCGTGAAAAGTAGGAGCTCCTCACTCTGAAACATGCTGCCAGAAGAACTAATTGGTTCTTATGCCATTATGTGCCAGCCAAATGCAAAGATAGACAAAAGCAAAGATAGTACTTTATCTTCTGAGCTCTTGAAAAGCAGGGGTTAGGAAAAAAAGGTGAACTCAAGCAAGTCCTCAGATGAATTTCTCTATCCTTTTGCTTTTTCTGAACAAGCATGGCATATAGCTACCAAGAGGTAATCATTCTCCTGAGCCTTAAAAGGCGCCCAAGAAAAGGTCTTCATCCAGCTGAAACACTGTTTTCATTGGTGCTACTTCATCATCATAAACCTCAGACACAGAATATTTTGAACTTCAGATAAGAAACTAAGACAAGTAGGTGGAAAATTTCAAGGAAAAAAAAAAAGAGGACAAAGAGCAGCAACTGGGCTAAAAAAATAGTAAAAAAAATTGCTACGTATAGTTTTCCTGAATTTTATTACACACAAAAAATGTATAATGAGAGTTATAAATCTCCATACTCTTCATACTTAAACCATGGTCTATTTGCATTTCCTATCACTTAACATGAGAAAATACAGATGTCTTTCTGGAGAGCATGCCTCAAATGGAGAGATTATCTCAGAGGTATCACCTTAAAATAATAGTCATTCTGGATTTTTACCAGAATTTTTATATTTTAGTGGTATACTAAGATAAAAAAGGAAGCTTCCTTTTCCCAGTGTTTTTGAGTAATTTTTCATTTTTAAGAATAATTAGCTTCAGAAGCAAATTACTCACAAATTACACACAAACCCCGAATCTTTCTTTAAGGAATTTAGCTACAGAGTTCCAGAAGTGAAGGATAGATGCTCCTTTTCCCCATATTTTGGTGTTATTTCGCAGATCCTTGTTGCTGACAGAAATTAATAATTAGCTGAGCAGTACGGGAAGGGAGAAAAACTAAAGTCATCTCCCTTTACCTACAAAATGAGCAACAGTAAAGACAGGCACCCATGACTCTCAACAACCTACAAATCATGTTGGTCTCCAGGGCCTGCGTGGGTGCCCTTATGAGCTGCAGTGTGGGAGCCCTGGTGAGATCCTCCAACCCTCTCATTCTTGCCTGAGAGGCATCTGCAGGACTCCAGGTTTAGGCCTAGCTAGGACTACAAAAAGGACTTTTCAACAAAAAAAGGACCACATGGGGCCCCTGGACGTCCTCTGCTTTGCCTTGGATTTCCCCAGTGGATTTGGTGATGGCAAGTCAAGTGATCTCCCTCTTTCTGTTTTATGAAGTCAGGAGCTGAGTAAAGCCTTTCTGTATGTATATGATTACCCCTCTGTAGCAGCTAGACACTTTGCCACCCTTAATTTATCCTCAGCAACATCTCTGTTGAGCAGAGAATTATTTTTTCAAAAGCACAGGAAGGCTTTGTGACCCACAGAAAATCATGTAGTAGACTGTGGAACCAAACTCAGGCAGCAGAAAAAAAATCACATACCACAACAGTCTAGTCTCTGTAGCATTTTTCTCCCAGAGTTTCCTCATCTGTTCTGTTTTGAGCTGCTGCAGGAGCTAAGATGGATATGTCTGATCACGATGGACAAACCACAGTAACACAGTGGACAGAAAATCCCCTTAATCGTCTGAGGAACAAAGTCCACTCCCTTGAGAGCATGATAGTTCACAGATAAAGCTATATTTTAAAGGGCATTTATCCAAAGAGTTTTATTTAAGTATTTTATTATTTCAAAGCCTTAGAGGAGATTAGGGCAAATTATGGGTTCAAGGATATTCAAGCAACCTGGAAAAGCAGAAGATGAAGACATACCCGGGAGACAAAACCACTTGAATAACTTGCTGGTTAGCCAAACCTCACTGGAGAATTTGGGTTATACATTTAAACAATTTCCATCAACCTAATGTAACTGCAGGATTTAAGAGCAGGAAGGACAAAAAGGCAAGCAGCTGTGAGGAATGCTAACATGCAAGAGAGACTAGCAAATGTACTTAGAAAAAAAACCAGATAGAAAGTACGTGATTGACACTTGGAAAATACTTCTTATCACCTTTACTACAGCAGTATAAGATGATAAAAGTGCAAATCAGTATTGCTTGATCACATAACCAAAGGAATCAACAAATACATCAAAACTAATGCTGAAACAAGCAAGGGCTATGAAATTTGTTATGAGATTTGCTATTTGTTTAAACAGGAACAAGCAGAGTCAGTGACATGAAAACTGGGATCATACTGAGTCACATCTTAGAGCTGTAGTTTCCAGTGAAAATATTCCCTTAGATCAAAATAGGACAGTTTAGAGAGAAAGATGGTTCAGTACAGACCAGAAAGTGACTCACCTTCAATATTGGCTCACCTAATTCTGTCTTTGAATTCATTTAACAAACAAATCTGTTATGGTACAAACATGTGATTCACTGAAAGACAAGGTTAAAGAAGCATTTCTGTTGAATGCTGATAGGAACTGAAATTAAGCCAACAATAGCCGACCAACCTGAGGTGGAACTATTTTGAACTAGAAGTACAAACTGGACAATTATGGTCAAATCCTATTAAAAAGCAAACAGCTTTAACAGAGATGTGTTATTGCCCTAATAACACAGAAACCAGTCTAGTCCAGTTTCAAAAAATTGGTTTCAACTACAAATTATACCACAGATCAAGAGGAATGACTCTTTAACTCTAGTTACTTTAACTTATCGTCTGCTTTACATTTTAATAACATTTATTTTAGCCTTTCCCAAGCACTATACTTGACAATACACAATTTCCAAAGGGCTTCCTATTCTCTACTTGACAGTGCTTTATATGCTTATGTAGTATTTCTGAGAAGAATGAAAATGGGACCATATCAGAAAAAATTTTGATTATTTAGTTTAACTCATTAATAAAACCAAAATAATTAGATATGTGTACCCACTTGACAGGTATAACCATTGATGAAATATTATTTACTTTCATATGTTTCAGGTATCATAGAATCTCAGTATTTTCCTTCAGCGTCTCACTCCTCAAAGACTCAGTACTGGTTGAAACGTGCCTCCCTGTATCACCAATGGTCCCAGTGATCTTTCATCCCTCTGTTACTGAAGTTCAGAATATGAAGTAGTGGATATCTGAAACCTTGCTTAAAGTGGAGGAAAACATTTATGCTCCATTTTTGCTCTGTTTTCTGCTTGGTTTATCTTTCAGCTTTGTTTTTGTCACTGCTCCCACATCTGGGCTGTGGACAGCTTATTTCTTCAACCACAAGCAATGTGCTGCAGTCAATGAGAAAGTTTTTCCAATACCTCAAGAGTAGATATTCGATCGTTTTCTTACTGTGATATTAAACTATTTACCAAGATAATATGCATATATAAGTTTATTCACTGCTATGGCATAACACATATCTCCTCTTTACCTTACATTATCCACTTTTATGCAGGGATTCAGTGCCATTCCCTCTGGTCTACATCCTGCAGCTACATCATTGCTAGGACAGAAAAGGTCTTCAGATAAACCTGAGACATATGCACTTTTGTGCATTAGAAATGCACAACTCTGTGAACCCACACTGTGTAGCGCAGAGAAACTCTTCTTCCACCTAAGCAGATCAAAGTGTACTGCAAGAAAAAGGGTGCTTGGCTAGAGAGCCAAAAACTGGATACCTCTACAGGCTAAACCGCCAGTCAAAGAAAGAAGAAGAGTCAAGACCAGTCTTACAGTCTGGTCATGGGGAGCGTTGATGTCTCTCCCCATTGGAAGAAAAGCTGACAACAGATGCACTTAGGCTGAGGGGGTAGAGATTAGTTATTGAATCTGGTTCAAAGCCTTAAGCAGTAATGTTCTATTCTACATTTCACAATATAATGCACAGCTGTGGATTGTCTTTGGTCAGAGGCTACTGTCTGATTAATCTGAGCAAGGCAGGGTAGTGTTCCCCAATTTATTTTTTTTAATATTATTTTTTTTTAATACAGGCCAGCTTGTCTCTAATTCTTGCAGTTCTTTAGAGATATCCTTAATACAAACAGGCTGCACACAAAGCATAACTCATAACTATGCTAAACCTATTTTTCTTTGCCCTAATCTAAGTTCTCTTACTAAAGCTAAAGACCAAGAAACTGCTTTTTCTGTCTGTGGATAGAAACTCCATCCTCTTCTGTGGGACCAGTTTGAAGTCTGTACACTAGGAAGAAGACGGACCTTAAGGTTCATGGATTTGGACAGTTCTTCAGAGGTTTTCAACCTTTCTTCAATTCATAGACTCCTTCAATTTTCCTTAACCTATATACCCTCTACTGACGCTAGATATTTAAGCACAGTGACAACAGGTTTTTAATTTGTTACTTTTTGTGGACCCCTTATATATGAAGAGTGTCTCTCTGATGAGGTTAAAACTACTGTTTCAGAATATAAAATGAAATTCAAGACTGCTTGCAAAACAGGAGACTAA